GAAGAAACAGAGTGGGCGACGCTGTATTTGGTAATGATGCAACAGAATCAATGTGAATGTAGTGTACGTGAATGGTAATAACAACTACGTATGTGAATCATTCAGTTATCAAATGCGGAACGCGTGCTTGGAGAATTTGTTGTCAGTCATCGTAAAGAGGCTGAGAACGCTTTAATGAATGGAGATGTGGATTGGTGGAAGGACTTGATTGTGAAACTGGACGTCTCGCCGGGCCACGGTGAGAACAACTTCGCATGGATATCTTATGTTTTCTTTTTTCAAGATCAACAAAAAATATCCGGATTGGAATTGGTCATACAACTTGCAAAAGCCGTTTGTGCTGAGCAAAACCTAGTTAAAGAACTCGAATCGTGGCCAGTACCGCAGTTTCCAGTCAAAGGTTGTTTATATATAGCATTTGCATTAAATTCATGGATTTTTTCCAATTTTAGGATTGGATCTCATGTCATGTGGCGTGGATCGCGGACCTAAGATGAAGCTCACCTTGACATATCTGTTTGAAATTTGGCGGAAGGTCAGTCTAATTGCGAAGTCAGCTCTGAATTCTCAACAATTTCTGCTTATAGAGTCGCTATGAGATGACTAAGGAAGAATTGCTCAAGCATGCTCATGATGATGCTATCCCGAATCCTCCGGCTCCTATGAAAATGACTAAGAAACGTCGCCACGAAGAAGAAGCTTGACAATGAAAAAAATCACTTTGTAATTAATCGCGAGGTGTAACCATTCAAATTTATCAGCAATTTCAAGTTAACGACCGGTGAACTCGTTTTCTCTTTTCTACCTCATGCAAAGCTGTGACATCTGGAATTCGATGCCTTGCTGTTGTTATCAGATTGTTAGGAAAATCATATCAGTATAGTCTTAGCCAAGTATTCTTAATTCAGAATGTGCCAATCATGAAAGCGGTTTGGATTCTTGGCACTTTTCTTATAAGTAAGTACTTCGTTTTGTGTAAAATACATCCAATTATGAGAATCTATGAAAATGGCAGAATATTCACAAATTTCACAAAGGAGTTTGAATTTTTAAAACAAGTATCTCGCAAATACCATGCTACCGGTTTCGCGTCAATGAAATCGCACTTTCATTGGTGTAACGTAAGCTACATTCTGAAAATAGTGACACACAACGACTGAGGCCGTAATTATTGGGTGCTCCGCAGGAGACAAAAGGATACCTTTTAAATTATCATGTGCGTCACCTCCCATTTGATTGCGCTCGAACTTCGTCTGCGTCCTTCTCCCCTGTTAGGTGTAGAGGGAGAAGCTTCGCGCTACATGTGAGGCAATTGTGCAGACCTTGACCCCTTTCGCAAACGCAGTGTGCCGGCAAAATCTTGTTCTCCGGTTTTTCACCTCTTCAGAACCTCCTCGCCATGCTGATGCCATATTCAGGCTTTTCAGCGCTTGTAATTGGCAAAAATGAGCTTTTTTCTAAGCTCTTTGTGTCCGCTTCGCTCCAAAATGCGCGTAAGAAGTGGGCGGGGTATAGAAGTGAGCGGGGTCCGGAGGACTTCCGAATGGGTTTTGGGCTTTTTAGAAGCGAGTTCTGGGTCGACCATCACAAGGCTGTATGGCCTAAGGCATACCTCACGCGATT